ACATGCAGGATATGGAGCAATAACGAATACCTCCTGTGCTGTTAATGGCCAAATAGCGTGGCATTAAGGTGTGCATTAAAACATTAGGTTCACTAAGATTAATGACGGGCAACTGATGAGGATGTTAAGGAAGGATGGCGAGTTGATGCCGGCTGACGATGGTAAATAGTATGCTCCTGAAGTGAATAATATGTGAAGATGACGTGTAGACTATGATCAAATATCGAGTAGCTAACCTATTGTTCATGCGCAAATGTTAGGCAGCTTATAGGAAGTTTCAGGATGATGACAGGTTATAGTCATACAGGATCATGCGCAATTAAGGATCCACATGAACAGGCAACATTGTCATGCATTTTGTATGGAGTGTAGCTATACATTAAAAAGTTAATCATTGTTTCTTCTTCTTCTTCTTTTTACTTTATCTTATGTCCAATAACGCATTACTGCACACTCGTGTCTGGCGTATGTGCTGCGTTCAATAACCTGTCTCCGTCCTCGTGTTTTTTTTCAAGTTCATGAGTAGGTGAAAAAATAAACGATCATAGGATTACACAATAAACGTGCAGGGTGGCAGGCATAAACGTGCAGTATGGCAGAAATAAACGGGTAGGATGGTAGGTATAAACGTGCAAGGTGGCAGAAATAAACGTGTTGGATGACAGGCATAAACATGAAGGGTGGCAGGCATAAACGCGTAGTATGGCAGAAATAAACGTGTAGGATGACAGGCATAAACGTGCAGTATGGCAGAAATAAACGAGTAGCATGGCAGGCATAAACGTGTAGTATGGCAGAAATAAACGTGTAGCATGGCAGGCATAAACGCGTAGTATGGCAGAAATAAACGTGTAGGATGACAGGCATAAACGTGCAGTATGGCAGAAATAAACGTGTAGCATGGCAGGCATAAACGTGCAGTATGGCAGAAATAAACGTGCAGGGTGGCAGGCATAAACGTGCAGTATGACAGAAAATAAACGAGTAAGATGTCAGAAATAACAGGCATTGTTAGCCTAGTACTAGTGTCCTCCGCGCACCACCTGCTGGCAGTGAACGTTCTTTTTCACTCAGACTTTCTGGCCTCAGCGCAAGCGTATATGACTCAAAATAAAGCAACAGCAATACGCCATGAGGTGTAATTATATTTAATTGTGAAATTAGGTTGTTATTCTACTGAGAACTATTATTGCCACAAAAAAAATGTTGGTGAATCTAAAGATTCCTTGTAGGATTCTAGTCCTATCATGAACAAAACAGCCTATAAGACGGATTATGAGCCGATATATTATTTATCATTGCCTCTGCATAATAAATACAATTCTTTTAATCAGTTTGTTCTGTAAAGGATCTCCGATGCTAAAGAAATGGGATTAATCTTGCTTCAGTTTTCTAGGGAAACAAAAACAATTTATCCAAATGACGTCTTAGGAGTCTAGACATTTTCCTATTGCATTATCGAAACAAAATCTTGCACGCCGGAACTACAACCACATTTCCTGACAAACCACAAAAGAGCGCGGACATTCTTCCGTGGGAGGGAAAGCATTTGCGAAAACTATTCAAGCAGAGACGTCGGATAAGCATGGCGTTAAACTGACAACGAAATCCAGAGATGTTGATAAGCATAACGTTAAACTGACCTCGAAATCCAGAGACGTCGGATAAGCATGGCGTTAACATGACCTCGAAATCCAGAGACGTCGGATAAGCACGGCGTTAACATGACCTCGAAATTCAGAGATGTTGATAAGCATGGCGTTAAACTGACTTCGAAATCCAGAGACGTCGGATAAGCATGGCCTTAAAATGACCAAAAAATATGACTACTCACTGCAGTGAGTGACAGAGAGCGCATTTTCTCATCGACGAAAACGTGAAATCACGGACGGACAGACAGACAGACGGACAGACGGTCGGACGGACATGGCGAGCACAATAGCGCCTTTTTCCATATATGAGAAAATGCGCTAAAAATCCAAAGAGATGAACCCACAAAATCCAGAGCTGAATTGGATAAGCATAGCGTTGAAATAGCCATGGAAAGACGTGACGTTGGAGGAAATGTCGAACGAAGTGGCTATTCCATTGAACGATTCTTAAATGAATATTAAAAAATAAATGAATAATAAATGAACGATTCTAAATGAACGATTTCTTACAAATTACACTATAAGCTTCTTAGTGTCGCGAGATTCTATTTCTTTTGCAATGGTACACTGCGCATTATAATCAAATCATCTTATATTAAAGATTTTCACCACTTTTAGTGAAACATTTATGATCGTTATTCTGCAGTACATTAAACACTTTCAGCCTCTTAGATCACATGGTACGTTGGGGAACGTTAAAGGTTCCATTGTTCAAGTAAATAACTCGCAGGGTCTTGAGACGATTAATTTGGCGGTTGCCATCCTCCAGTTCTCATTTTATACAATGTTACCTTCTAGCAACATTCATGACGATGTTTTAGAATGATTTCTTTTTATTTTTTCGTAATAAAAGTTTTGGTTATAAGTATTTGATGCAGTAATTTGTGATTTTTAAACGAGTTTAGTCATTAAAGAATTCGTGCACCGTTTTGTTAGCTGTCCATGCATACCGATTCGAAAAAAATTGCCTTCGGTAACCGACAAAGTACTGTACCAATTTGATACAAATAGATTAGAATGATGGGAGTCATGCAGACTTGTGTAACTCTAGCCATCATCAATGAATTGTAATGGAATTTCAGATTTAATTTATACATTATGTACTTTAGTTTTCGGTATTTCGCTAATATTTTTTAGAAAGAGCTCAGAAACTTAGGACGATTACGATTTACTCCTAGCACATATTTTGAAGGACCTTGTTTGAGGACCTTGCAAGTTTGACAGGCCGAAACCAAGTTTTTCAAGTTACATTTAGGAAACATTGTCATTATTTAAAAAAGATTGAGAGACAAATTTTTTAATTTCATGGATATTGAGAAATATAGTACTTGTTTGGAGATCTTCAATACAATCCGCAGAATATACAAAACAGTTTCTTAGTTGTAATTGTTTGGGGCTCTCAGATAGTAATTTCTAAATCATTTTATTGAAACATAATGGCCTGACAGGAGAATTTTCACAAAAAAGTACTTCAAAATTTCACATGGTTTCCGGGGTCATTAGGACGTCTTTCATCGAAGAAAAAAAGCTAATAAACCACAAAAAGAACTTGCATGTCACTCGTTTCTCACAGGTCACTCATTTTCAATAGGTCATTTATCGTTTACTAGTAAGTCATTTTCTACCGGTCACCGTTCCATGTAGTTCACGTATTGGCTTTCAATCAAGAGCAGCTACACAATTTTTGCAATACCGTCACATCTTCACCTCATGAATGTCAAATAGAATTCTTCTATGTTTCCAACATTGAGACGCTCTTCAAAGAAATTCCGTGGGAATTTTCATAATAAAATATTTTGTGCCGGGGTTTTGAATGCTTCCAAATGTATGCTTTTTTTCTTACAGTTCACAATGAAGGAAGTTAGGAAACGCATATCACAGTAAAAAGTAAATACTTGTGCATGAGAAGCGTTAATAAATCATTACAACATTGAAACACCTACCTTCTCATTTCCGGGAATTACACAGTATTTCAGAGAGGGTCCAATCATTGTGATCAAGACAGGCAAAGTGTCTCGAACTAGGATTGAGGAAGCGGCATAAGTGGCTCGATTTCGTTGATGCCTTCCCGACTTTCACTAGGCCCTATATTTTGACTTGTCAATGCTTTTTTCTAAGAGCGCTGTATCCTCTAATTATTGAAGGGATTTTTTTCTTTTAACGCTTGACGGTTACTTTGCGTACCAAAGATGTTTCGTTTCAATACAATATATTTAATTAATTATGACGGAAATTTCTTCTTGTTAATTACGCTATATATTTCAAAAATACAATAGTTTTACATGAATTATTTTACTATCACATATATATATATAGCAAAATTGCTTGAAAGCAATTGTTTACCATTGTATAAAAAGGAAATTCGTTTTCTTAGGTGAAAAGAGTATTTCTATATAAATCAGGCATAAAAGAATTATGTATAGTTTTGTTGTCATTTCTTACAAGCTAACTCAAAAAATAACAAATTCTGCACTCCGGAGTCCACTAAACACAGTTTTAATTCAACACAAATAATCAAATAAAATAGTAGGAGACTTTTAATTCTCTGGCCCTAGTGATCATCTATCAACAAGTGACTAATTGCAAGGGAGTGCTCCATTATATATATCTTCGCCTTATTTTTTGTTCAATCGTTAAATTGTCGCATTTATTGAGTTAATAATGTGAACCTTTCGATGCAGAGTGATGATCTAGGAAATATGAATCACTGTCTCTGAATGGAAGACTTTCTATTGGAGCATCCAAATTTGTCATGACGAGCAGATTGAAAACAAGTATGAGTCTAGCACCCAATTTGAACGCTTATTAAAAACTTAATATCAAGAATTTAACATTAAAAACAATTAAACTGAAATTACTTGAAATATTATTCTTTATTATTGCGACTCGCTTTTTTAAGCATTAATTTTAGGCAAATTGTGTTTTAAATAAATAATTTTATTCATTAATTCAGAGCAGTTGATTTATTTCGTCTGTGAGGCGTATTTCGGCTTTAGGTTTGCAGGCGCTCATTTTTTCACATGTTGACATTGAGAAGCATTATAAAGTGCATACGCCTTAAGTTATGAATGGGTTTTGAAGTTGAGATTTATTCACATTGAAGGTAGTTATACTAAGAAGCAAAATCATAATTATTTTGCGTTACGTTGCGACAAAATAGTTGTTATAGCTTGAATTTATGTTATACTTTTTTGCCGATTATCAGTAGAAATTAGTGATTGTCTTCCTATTCGATGCAGCGTCATTATTCTCGGTACAGAGTCTGGAGAAAGTCAAGATTTTATTTACAAACCTTTCTGATTCTCACTGCAAAGCTAAGGGCAGGTGCTGTGAGGGCCTTCACATTACCTGTAGGCTGGGAGAGGCTGTCTTCAAAGAAATCATCAAAACCGCTGTCGCAATGACTCCAGTCATCTCAGTTGTTGTCGGCTGATTGTTACAGCTCGTAGAATTGAAATTACAGTAAACTATTTTCTTAAATTGTTCTACACGTTGGGCAGTTATAGTAAACAGGCATAAAAATATTACTTGTCAACTATCTTGCTCCTTGTAATGTCAGGTAACGTCAAGTAATATCGTCCCAACCATATTCAAGTCTCAGTTTCGAGGATCATTACACCTTTCGTCTGAAAATCGAAAACACTTTTTTCATAACTTACAGCTCATAGTAGTTCTCGTGAAATAGAAGAAAAACGGAAGAAATTACTTTGCATTTTAGCATTGAATGTCTGCATCAAGTAATTATTTAAATGCAGATCCGGAAATTAAATGAAATTTTTTAAATAAATAAGAATCCAGTCCGCTAAAACAACACACGTATGTGAGATTCTGTTTACGGGCACGATAAGACTTCCAAGGAACAAAACTTTAAACTGAAAGTTGGAAAATAATTGAATAGCACTTGAAAATTACTGAAGGACTTTGATGTGAGGTATCTTTATGATAACTTAATTATTACTAACGAATAATGCCTTCATATAACTAATCCTATACGGCATGATTATGATAAGTGTAATCAAGTATTTTTTTAACCCTTGCCTTCTAACAAAGAGAAAAGATCAATTCAAAGGTTGTTCTTTGAGGTACAAGATCATGATTGGTAGGATGATTCATAAAAGTGAATGATTTAGCTTGTCATGCATATGATTAAGCAACCGCACTGTAATAAGATGCAACACTATGATGGCAAACAGCAGTGTTCGTTGGGTATAATAATTTTTATAATTCCACAAACATTGTGAAATAATTTATATGAAAGGAAACTCGGCAAAGAAAATAAATCTCGTAATTTATTTTCGTCTCATACGATTTGAAGGCTGTTTTTCCCATAACGTTTCTTTATGTAACGTTTTAACGCGACTGTAGAATTAAACGTTACCATTTTCTTTTGATATTTTCTCTTAGGTGCATGAGGTTCACACTAAAATGCATGCACTCTTACAAATGTTGCGATAGTTAGCTTACTCTGACTACTAAGCCACGTTATGGGTATGTATACTTTCCGTATGGTAAGTTGAATTGTTTATCAAACTTTATATTAAGGAAGATATATTTCAGATGTGTTCACTCCTATATAAAGTAAAAAATTCTGAATATATGGCTCTAAATTCGCGTGTTTCTCTGAAAATTTGTGCTCACCAAACAATCTACTAAAGAATAATAATTAGAAGATTTGCACGAAAGACGAATATTCTGTTAACTTTAACAAAAACTGAACATTTATATAATTGTTATTCTTTAATGTTATGATGCTTTTGAGACATACTGTACATAGGTACAGGAGACGCTAGTCAACAGCTATTATTTTATTGCACCGCAGGAAGAAGCTCTGGTTGTTTAAAACATTAGCGACATTGAGCATATCATGGTGAAGTATTTGCATGCTGAAAGGGAAAATAATTTCTCCTTCACGATAACAAGTTTTTACATTTAGAGAATTTTGATGTGGAAAGTAAACGAACACATTTATTTCTTATTCGATTTTTGTGAACGCAAGATAATACGAAGTATAAGTGGCGAGAATTTGGTGGCTGCTTGTATGTTTTTTATCAGAGTACTGAAGTAACTAGTCAATGATCATTCATGTGGTAAACGCTCATCAGGTTCAGGGACAATTCAATGGATGAGCTTCATCGGTGGAATTTGGATTCAGCTATTAAATCGCAACCCACCATCGCAATAGTGTAGCGAATTACAAATGTGATATTCAGAGTTACCAGTGAAAAAATCTATTATAAAATTATCACTGAATATTGGCACCGTTACAGCAAATTTCTCTTAGTTAAAGTTAGTTAAAAATATTGCATTTAAACATCAATTAATAGCATCAAATTTACTTGATTTTTTTGTTAAAACGTACGAAAAAAGTTGCAAAGGAAATTCCGCCTGAAAATTTTTTGATGTACTATATAAATAACTGTAATTAGCGTCTAATTCAGACTAAAATTCGGAAAACGAAATTCATTTGTTATAGTGCTCACTGGCACACTATTTCCTCGCTGCGATACTGTTTCTATAAGACTTTTATGCAAGTCGCAACTATTCAACAAATTTCATGAAAAAATAGCAGTTGTATTTCTTTTAAAGAGAGTTCAAATGAATGTGGTGTGATTCAGTTCCGTTCACAAACCTCACTTCAATGTTCAACCCCGCGTAGCCTCGCTCACTGAGAAAATGATACTTCCTCACTCGGCTGCGGTCAGAGCCGCAATGACGGCCATGTTGATCGTTGAAACAGAAAATCAGCAACTGCTTTGCAATGCAACCTCGACCTACTAACTGCCTTCGACCGGCGGTTGAGTCTTCAGTTTTATTTCCATTCATAATGAAAATAAAACTTCATTCGTTATTCGACCTCGAGTCAGTGCTCCATCGAGCCGCTGGCCACATTCGGTGACGTGGCTGAACCATAAAAGAGAATTAATATTAAAGTGAAAGGTGTAATTTAAGCAGTAAGAAAACTCAAATTTAATAAAAATTATGCATTTTATTCAGGTGATAGAAGATTTTACTGCCACAAGGAGGAAAAAATATTGATTATTTATGAATCTTATGTTGTTGGACTATGACAAATAATTTATAGTATTTGTTTGAACTGAAACGGGATCAGAAATTTATACGAGAAATATTGCAGTGAATAATTGCAAATAATAATAATTGCAGTGAATAGCATTAAGAGAGCGTATATTACTTTTCAATGTATAGTTCATTTTAAGCTTTTCCAACGAGCTTCTCATAGTTACCTGACAATGCTGTTATCAGTGAACAAGTTTATCTTTATTTCGAAATTAAGCAAAGGAAATTTCTGAACTCGCATCTTCAAAATAATATCGATAATTCTATGCGCATTTCCGCGATAGCTGAAGCATCTAATATAATACGACGGCGGTGCGTTTAGAAATCGATGTTTTTGTTATTCCTATTTGTTAAATGAATTAATTACTTGATGCTTTTGAAATCAAATCACCCGGATTTGTTGCCGTTAATAAGCAAGTTAAGGTAATATAATAACATACAGTATTCTTCTGAACATGAGTGACATTCTGTAGGACATTCGGTTCCTTTTTCGTCATTTCATCTTTTAATTTATACTTTAGCTGCATTTTTATGTGTGATTTTCGAAAATTTATTCATCAAAGTAAATATATCATAGAGTATTGGTGAATATTTATATTTATTTAAGTTCATTAGGTTAGCAATTTCCTGTTTCATCTGATCTTTTAACAAATTTTTAACTTTAAAGCAACTTTATAAGTGCCGTATTCCTCCATTTTCAATTGATATATTTTGACTGCCAAAACGTTATTTAATTCAAATATTTAGCGGAATTTTCCAATGTTGTAAAAGATGCCGTCTTCGCGATATCTGTATTTTTTTTCGAGAAATTTTCCTTTCTAGTGCATCGACCGGAATTCATTAAATCTTATGAACATGACCCATGGCAAGATTAATCGTAGGCAGTACAAGGATAGTGCATTCAATTAATTAAATTCATTAGCTCCGAACAGCAAAATATATTTTAACATTCGTTTTAGGTGATACATAGAGAAGGAATTCATTAAATCTCATAATTATGACTGGGGTCAACTTTCAAACTATCTGACCTGGAGAGGTTCACGGAATTAACATCAAGTCTGTACGAAGAGGTCAGTTATATGCTGCTTCAAATATTTTTTAAATCTAAGTAGTTTCTGCTCAATGGAATAACGTAGGACTGCCGACTGGACTTAAGGAATTAAAGAGATCCATAAAAGGGTTATATCTTTCCTAACCAGGAAAATGAAACTTTTAACACTAAAACTCCAGTGACATATATTGGCCTTTTTTGGAAACAGGTTTTAGAGCTGCTAAACTACTTTCTTAGTCTTAAATACACTGCTATAAAAGGTAGTTATTTCTTTTTTTAAGTTTATAGTATGAATTTTTCTTTTACGATCGCTACTAAATGCGAACTATTTGGTTTTAGAGTTTGTCCTAAAAAATAAGTCACAAGGGCATATTCTCCAAGTCTTAATTGATGTCGCTAACACTTTTATAGTTTATGAAGTAGTCTTATTTTCAAAACAATTCAAGAAGGAAAATGAGTCAGATGCAAAGCTTTATTCTCGACAAACTTCTTGCATTCATGCCTAACTAATTGGACAGTTGATAATAAATAATAATATTTTCACTTCTGCGGTTGACATAGACCACCGTAAGTTGTCGCGTGTAGCTCCATGTAAGCATTGACTTCTCTAGCAAGTCAATGTAAGGCTGACCAGCCTAGCCACCAGATCCCACAGCACCGGTGTCGTTTCTGCCCTCTGCCCTTCCTCTTCGTATCACTAACCATGAAGCGATTTGGAAAGCAAACGTAACATATCACATCTCTTTTGCAAGCAATAATAAACAATAACAAATAATTGAATTTTCGACTATTATAAAAGTTCATCAAGTTGTTGGATCGGTTAAATTCACAAAGAATAATTCAAAGATATGTCTCATAAATTTCTTCGAATTTCACGGTAATTATTGGTACAACTGTTGAATAATTTGCTTCATCAAAAATTTTCGATGCTTCAAAGCCTAAGCTTCTCGTTGCATAAAAATCACGATATCGTGCATCTCACGAGATCGAAAGCATTATTGAAATTCATTAGAGCAATTGTAATGCAGTTGAAATATGATCGCTAAATAGGAATATCCGAATTTCTGTTTAAGCTTCTGAATCTATGAAGCATAATATGCTGGTCACTTATCTAGTCTAGGGTGGTAATAAAATAAAATCGCATTAAAAAATTTTTAGGTTAAACTAGCGCAAACAGAAATTCATGTGCTTGCAAAGTTACGTAAGCAAATTTTCAAGAGGAGGTAAAGACCTTAAGACCTCACTCCAACACCACGGAACTTTAATATCTCTATTCCATACAAGTTCCCGAAAACAATAACAATAGCTACGAAGCAAAGGCAGACGTTGAAACATGAGACTGCTAGTGGTTGTCAATCTGCATGCTGGATGACGTTGTTGTCTTTATTTCAAAAACTGGATGCTGTGGTGCACTCACTCCAAACACTGGATGCAGTGGTGCACTCACTCCAAACACTGGATGCTGTGGTGCACTCACTCCAAACACTGGAGTGCACTCACTCCA